TATGGGAGTTCCGCATCAGTTTTTTTATTGTTGTGGTTCTCTCCAGAGAATGCTGCTCAAAGTGGAGCTGGCACCTTGTCGTGTTTACAGATAGCTGATCATCAAATTTCCAGAGTGCTTAAGTTTTGTTGTAATTTTGGGAGATCCCAGTATAGTGTTTGGTCCCCTTACCATGCACATTAGTTTTGGGTGTATAATAGGTGACTATTTCCCCGATCGAACTTTTGCATTGCTATCTATAGTGAAAACATCAAGGAGTCCTGTGGCACCTGAAAGACTAACAGATTTATTTGGGCAAAAACCATTTAATCAGATGCACTGGAATAAAAATTACAGAGGGTGTGTGTATTCCGCTTATCTACTCGCCTGTGGCAAGTAGACTTCAGCCGGTTGCCCTGTTCACTGGCGGTTCACACATGCGCAGTGCAGGGCTGGCGAGTTGTTTTCGCTGCAATAGTCGAGCCGTGTGTATGCACACACACACTAGTATAGCAAAAGAAGGGAGTTGCTTATTAAGTGTAGTACCGTGTTAATGAGGCCAGTGTTAACGAGGCCAGCTGGGATCCCTCACAGACAGGGGCTGCTGCCAGAGCAGCCTCCCCTGGCCACTGCTGCCACAGCAGCCTGGGCTGGCCGCGAACAGAGGCTGCTCTGCTCCCCTGATAGAGGCAGCAATGTGTGTGTAGGGGGGAGGGGGAAGCAAGCAGCACTGTGGAGATGGTGCTAGGGAGAACTGGCTTTTAAACTGGCTCTCCCCAGCACCACTTCCTGCTTCCCCTCCCCTGCCCCCACTGCCTCTGATATAGAGGCTGTGGGGGGCGGGGGAGGAAGGCAAGCAATCAACTAATTGACTACTCTTTTACATCCCTAGTAGTAGGGTGCAAACCACATTAGTTACTTTGGAAACTCTGGAATAAACCCTGAGAATAGATCACAGCAGTTTCACTTGCTCTTTTATACAGAAGAAGCCTTCTTGTCTTTTGCAGTGTGCAATCTGAACATTTCCCCCGAGATCTTAGGGAATTTAGAATAAGTGTTACTGCAAAGCAATGCTGATAAATAATCTGTGGTGCCATACCGTCATAGTAAAATGGGATTTCATTTTCCCTAGTCTAGTAGGTGGAATATGATGAATCACTGAGAAGTGTTGCTGTGAGAAAGTGACTGGATACCATTAAAGTAACAGATAATTGATTGCCTTTAATCTGTTTTTTCCAATATTTGTTAAAAGCTCAAACTTCATGCCTGTTCCCTATTATCAGTTCTTGCTGCCAAAGCCTGTGTTATCATTTAAACAAAGTTTTAAAGAAAGTCAAACCACTGCTGGAAGTAGCTGATCGTGCACACAAAACCAGAGTTTGTTGAAGTGCTAGACTAGCAGCAGTCTCTTTTTGTAAGTCCAGAGAGAATATTTTCTACATTTCAGTTTATCTAATTAGCTCTGTTTGATCTTAATTCAAAGTTGAGAAACTGATTGATCATTGAAAACACAGGAAATCTTGCTTTTCTCTTGTAATCCAAGAATGAAGACTAGTTATAAGTTAAGATCTACTAGTTCTAAGCTTTTGAGGGCATGGTAACCAGAAACAATAAATTCAGTTAATTAACTAGAGATAATATTTCGTTAATTTTAACTTCAAAACATTTTTAATGAACTTTTCTTCTGATATATAGAATCCATGTAAGGTTATTTTATTTAAATATTTTTTAAAAACCTGGTTTTATGCCTTTTTTAATTGCATTGACACAAATCACAATTAAAAAATGTATAAGCTAGTAAATAAGAGATTGCTCTTTCTTAATGTAATAATATAAAAATTAGGATTCTGAATAAATGTACGTTACTATTGTGTAACTGCTTAAATGCATGTATAAAATTATATATATCCTTTTGATTAGCAAAAAGTAGTAAGGACCAAATTTAGTGTAAAAGTAGGTTTTATTGTAAATCACCATGTTTTTTAGGAAACTAGGTAAAAAATAGAAATGCAAAATAGGATCAAAATTCATGATTTAGATTAAAGTTTCTGGCTTGCTGATTTAAATTATTAAAATTGGGGATTTACATTGCTTTGATTTAAATCCATCCACTCTGGTGCAAAATCATATTGCTTCAATAAAACTATATATTGGAAAAGGCCATTTTCTTGTTGCTGTATACATGTGTAATTCATTAGTTAAGCTATTTGCATAGTGTATATATACTTTACTAATTCATTAGTTCCTGCTAAACTTCATCTCTGATTTCTTCAGTTGAGGGCTTTTTATATATGGAAGTATATTAGCACTAGTTAATATAAGGAGTTCAGACAGTATTCCCCTTCAGTAGTAATTTATTTTACAGTGTATGGTTGCTATCTGTTCCGCAGTGAGCTTTTTTAGCTGCAGTGATCATTATTCAAGAGAATTAATGTATTTTTAAAGGTAAAATTCCTTTTAAAGCAACTTTTCATTTCCCTCTTTCTTACGCCAGCCTTTACAAAAAAAGAAAGTGCTTTGTGTTGGAAAAAGGTTAACTATCCTTTTGTGTAAGCAAAGAATGCAAAAAATCTGATGGTGTTTTAAAAATGTTGAGCAGCTGAAAACCTTTGAGTTGTTTTTGAGTTCTAAAATAATACACTATAGTAGCAGTTAATGTAAAGGTGTGTTGCCAAACTCTGTAGGCTTAAGCCACATCCTACTTTATTTGGATAATTTTGGCAAGGAATGTTTCTTTTTTAAAAAATTCCATATCTCTATTGGAAAAAATTAAAATACCATTTTGGTAAAACACCTTAATAAGCTCCTCTTTCTAGTCTTTAGCCAAATGACATGTGCCCATCCTGGACAAACACATGTTCCTACAGACATCACTGGTACTAATGCATAGTCAGAGATCTTAACAAAGGAAATATGATTGCCATTTATGCTTCATTAAAATGCAGTGGAAAATAATCACCATGTAATCACTTTCCTCAGGGTTTCTGCATCTTTTCTCAATTATATTTTCACTTAAAGTGAGAATGTTTGTTTCAGCTGAATATCTGAAACTTCTTTTCATGTGAGTGAAGCCATCTTAATAACAATAGCAACAACAAAAACCTAGGTGATATGCTGCAGAATATGAAGCTTGAGTAAGTATTAGCACAGGACCTTTTATGCTGCTCTCTGCCTTTCAAATCCCTTCTAGATAAAGCATTCTTTCCACTACAGTTACTGAATTTCAGAGTTAGTTTTGTCATTTTCTGGGGGGTGGGGGGAAGAATGCGTAGGACACTGGTGTGCATGTCAGCATTTTCTCTCTCTCTCTCTCTGCCCCTGATTTGCAAAGAATCAAAGACACTTCAAAGATATTGTAATACCACCAGGGAAGTGAGAACTTGGGCCTTTGAATATAATTTTCCCAGTGGAATGATCCATCTAATTTATTGAGAGACATCAGGCAAAAAAAAGTCTGAAGGAGAGAAGTAAACGTATAGCCCAAAGAAATGTTTAATAAGCATGTATAAGTTAGCTGCCATTTTCTAATTGTCAGAACTGATGGTGTTTAAATTAATATGTCTATTTTTATTACTGATCAGTTATAGTTGAACAGGAAAAGGCAGAGAGGTAATCTGTTTAGAAGCTCATCAGGAGTCAGAAAACTATGTGCATACTGGGGATGTGACCGAGGAGATGATTAATTGATAAGCGTAGGTTTATCGGTTAATCTGCTCGATGCGTCCCCCCCTTGCTGCCTGAAGCAGGAGCCAATGCTGCAGGGAGCTGGCTTAAAAGCCGGTTCCCTCCAGCACCAGCCCTCGGGTGCCTTCTCCCTCCCCCACTGTACTGCTGCTTCTATCAGTGGGAGCAGGGAAGGCTGTTTCATGGGGTGAGAAATAAATTATTTTCCTGTTCTGATGTTCCTGTGTAAGTACATGGCTGTACTGTTAGATGCTGCTGACACATCTGAGTAACTTTACATGTGTGAGTAGTCCTGATGTGGGATTTCTTGAATATAGAGTTACTTACCATGTTAGTAAGTGTTTATAGCACCAAGTTATTAAAATATAAGCACTGTGGAGCAGGAACCTTGTTTTATATTTTTAAAATACCTTAGAATCATAGAATACCAGGACTGGAAGGGACCTTGAGAGGTCATTGAGTCCAGTCCCCTACCCCTATGGCAGGACCAAATACTGTCTAGACCATCCCTGATAGACATTAATCTAACCTACTCTTAAATATCTCCACAGATGGGGATTCCACAACCTCCCTGGGGAATTCCCTAGGCACCTTATACACCTATGGCATATGAATGAATAGTCATTATTTATTTCCTTTTATTTGTCTGGGCCTTTCACACAGCAACAGAGTAGAGAATTTTTGTTAAATAGGAAAATGTTATTGTAAAACCAAAAATAAGTCACCTGGCAAGCTGATGCTATACGTATACCTGAAATTACATCTGTGTTTTTTTTTAAACAACTATATTTCAGATTGATTATATCTTTCAAAGGCAGGTTGATGCCAGCCTTATATTGTGTAACTTACATTCTTCAATATCTGTAGACAATAAGGTACTATTTGGCCAAGTGATTTGTTTCTATCTTTCAGTTAAACCACAGATCCAAATGGAAAATTTCATAGTTAAGAGATGTCAGATGGATTTTTGACACTTCTTGGAAGACTTTTATCCTGTGCATGAGTAAATGGATTGAGATAAGATGTATTTTACAAGTGACAGATCTGGTTCTGATATTTTTCATGCTGAAAGAAAAGAAAAATTTGCTCAGACCAGCCATCTGAAAATTTGAGATATAAGAATTGTTTCTCAGTAGAAATAAATTGCAAAACCCACTTAAAGATATGTTACCATTTTTTTTCAAGTGTGTATGGAACTTGCACATTAAGCCAAAAATAGGCTATTCCCTTTGTAAAGTCTGATCCAAAAAACCTGTTTCCATTGACTTCAGTAAGTTTTGGCTAAGGTTATATATAGTACCTCATTTTGGTTAAAATTATTAAAAAATTAGATCAGGCTTGGACAGCCAGAATGAGGCACAATATTTCTACTTCGAAATTTGTATAAAAATGGCATATTCTTATTCAGGTCTGTCCCTGGGTTTACTTGGAATCATCTCCATTTATTTTAGAGGCAGTGGTGCAGATGGTGCCATAAGTTAACTGTGAGGGCAAAACTTGACTTTAAAACAACACTTAATTCTTGTTAGTTGCCCCAGGATGTGAGTGTGTGCAAAGTTTGGTTAATTTCCAGCATCAATGGAATTCTAGTTTACCCTTGTGTCACACAATCAAAGGTAGTCTTATCTGCATGATCCTGTCAAAACCACTGGGATTTTGTGAGTCTGAGGGCATAATTTGCTGGCAGAGGAGCTGCCCAAGTATAATTGGCGTTATTTGGCCTCTAAATACTAGTGTTGATACATGAAAAGGAAAGAAACATGTTTAACTTTCTGATTCCAGGCAATTTAGCAGTTAGCAGTTAAAACATCTTTTTACTGACTTAATCAGATTAGCTTTTACCTAGAGTCACTAAGTTGCTAACGCATGTCATTAAAAAAGTCCTTTTTCAGAGCAGAATTGCAATTTAAGTTGAGATCTATTAAATATGTATGGCTTAATAAATATCTGTATTTGGCAAAAATAAGGATCTGAAGACCCCATTCAGAGGCAGATCAGATAATGCTGTGGGTATTGTATAAATACATAGATCTGCATTTACTGATGGGCAAAAAATATACACATTGTTGCAAAACCACAAAGGTCTGTTGAAAAGAAACTGGCATTTAGGCCAACATTTCAAACATACTTAGGCTGATTAAGTAGATAAAGAATGTAAGCATCTGGGTTATTTAAGTTTGAACAGTTAAGTTGCCATTTAAAAAAAATGCCAAAATTCTTGAGAGGTTAACATTGCATATACACAATATATTTTTAATGACCATTCCATTAGTTTTGAAAGCCCATATGCAAAGCCATGCTTGGCATGTTATTTCAAAGGCTAAAATCTGATAATTTACTGAATCAACCTATAAAAAAATCTTAAAGTTGCCTATCTTCTTTTAATAGTCCAGCTGCATCAGAGTAATTTTTGTAGATATTAGGGATGTTAAAATGTGTTTATTTTGTTAAACCTGTGCCCACTGAAATTTTCAGCAGGTACACGTTTACACATGATGGTGAGGAGGTTGCTCCAGGGGAGCTGGTGCGCATGGGCTGGCTCCCGCAGAGCTGCCTCTGATGCAGATGGGAGGCTGGGGGGGCTTGCATGTAACTGTGAAGGTTACCTGATGAGCCCAGGCTCATTGGTTAACTCTTTACTCATGTACACTATCACATTCCTCCTAGGTATATAATGCAACTTTTTATGCTTTAATGATTTTTTTTTCTCTTTCTTGGTTTCCATACAAACAACAGCTAGTGGACAGAAGTTATATGTAAGACTTTTTCAACGCAAGCTGAATTGGATAAAAATGAACAAAATAGAATATGCAGAGATCAGTGCAGATTTGTCGCCAGTAATTGGAGAACTGGTTGAAGCAGGCTTTCTTCAAACAGGTATGGGAAATGACTGCAAGTTCTTAGAATTAAATTCTCTTCTCTTGCTGCTGCTACCAGTCTTGTGTCTTGGCGTGGCCAGTTATTGGAGTCACGTTCAGGAATATTTTAGTTGAGCCATTCAGGCAGATTGGCATCTTGCTCCATTAAGTTAATAACAGGAGTTAGTAATTCAAATCAGTTGAAGAGGGAGAGTTGGGCAAGATTATTTTTTGGGGGGGGAGAGGGGGACAAGCACGCTAGATTTCAATTGCTAGTACAAGAAGATAACTTTTATCTTCTATTTTCCTGGGCTGTCAATTTAATTCAAATTTAATTCAGCCAGATTTCTGTATACTTGTATCTTGTTTTGAAATTGCCGTGGAATTTTCTTGACTGTTGCACTTCTGTTAATTATTAATTACTAATTTTAATTTATTCAAATATTCCCCCCCCATTTAAAATATTTGAGGTAGCGTACACATTTTTTAAAAACACAATACAAATATATATACAAATTTAAAATATGAGACCCCAGAGGGGCATAAAACCTGCTAAAAACATATAGAGAAGAGGAACATACACATACAAACTCAAACTTTAATAAAAGCATGAATAAAAAGAGTGGCTTTAGCCTGATGCCGAAACAATGCTAGCCTTGGCACCATGTGAATATTCTGAGGAAGAGATTTCCACAGCCTGGGAGCAAACGCTGAGAAGGTCCTGTTCCGCATAGATGTTAATCTTATCTCCACAAGTGGGGGAACTCGAAACAAAGCCCACCCAGTTGACCTCAATCCCCAGGCAGGTTCCTATGGGAGAAGACGGTCCTTCAGATACCCTGGACCCACCCATTTAAGGCTTTATAGGTCATAACTAAAACCTTAAATTGTGCCCGGAAACATACCGGAAGCCAGTGCAGCGGTCGAAACACTGGCATAATGTGCTCCGCATAACGAGTATTAGTTAAGACTCGAGCAGTTGCATTCTGGGCCAGTTGAAGTTTACGAAGGCTCTTTAGAGGCAGCCCCACATAAAGTGATTTACTTTAATGATAAAGTAAATACATTTGAAACTATATTTGGTTAGTTAAATTACTAGCCTATCGTTTTTTCATATGTAGGTATCCAGAAAATTCTGTGCTTTAAACTATCATGTAATATTTTGAATGCATAACTATTTTCTGTGTATCTACAGAATCTGAATTAGAAGACCTTTCCGAGGGGCTGGACTTGCTTTCTGTTCTTGAGCTAAAAATATTAGCAAAGACCTTTCACCTGAAAAATCCAAATGGTCAGAAACAACAGCTGGTGGAGGACTTCCTCAAGCTGGCAAAACAGCGTTCGATCTTCAGCAGTAATCAGGCTGGTATTGGCGCAGTGATTTTGAAAAGGTACTATTCAGCTTTTTACTTCTGCAGATTAATATAAATTATTCTTGAGAAAACAGCTTTTTTTGGCAGTCCTTAAGAAAAAAGATGGCAGGCCAATTGCCACTCAGTGCACCAGCACTGAAACTCTGTTCTCCTCCATCACTAGTCATCCATCATCATGTCCCTGTCTCTTGTTTTCTTCCCCCTCATCCTTACCCGCATATCTCCCCTTTCTTCGAGTTTGGATCATTTTCAAGAGCAAAACCTTTGGGGTGGGAATAGCAGCTCTGATTTGGCTCCCTTTATTCAACCTTTCTGGGATTAGATTCAGTTGTATCTGCTTTGCTACCACACAAGGTGAAGATGATCTGTAGAGAGATGGAGGAGGGCATATTATTGAATGTCACTGTGTAAGATTCCATGCTAATGACATCCTTCACTCCTGTTCCCAGAGATCCCGTCTCTTCTGGTGAAGGCAGAAGTCTTTTTCAAATTTTGTGCTTTGGACAAGTGTTCACCTCAAAATATTTCAATATCTCTCCTACCAGTACCATACCTTGCACGTTACCCAAAATAGCCCTTAACATTTGTGATGGTTTTTGGGGTGCCCATGACTGTGTCACCTTGGTACTCCTCTTGCCTTCAGTGAGAGGGTTATTTGCTGCTGCTTAACTGCCAGCTCTCTGATGCCATGAGCCTGTTAATCTCCTGTGGGCTGTTAGTGCTTACTTTGCCTAGTAAGTTAACAGAAGGTGAACCCTAGTCCCCGAACCTCTTTGAAATGTTCCCCTGTATTGTCCAGCTTTTAACCACAGAACATTCACAAAATGCCAGGTCTGCTGTTCCCAGAGAAACAATGTACACACCAGGTTCAGCTTTGGATCAGCTCTTTGTATGATGGGGTTTCCGTTTTGTTGGCTTATAGCCCTTAACTTACATGTCATCTGAGAGGTGATTAAACCAACAGGTTGTTTGTATCAACCACTGACCGATCTCCTCCCAGAGGATCTCCAAATGGATCATAGACCTACCTGCATAACTTTGTGCACGTGCCACCGGGGCTGTGGTGACATCAATGGCTTATACACAAGACATCTCATTGTCCGATATATGCAAATCGGCCACCTGGTCCTCCACTCACACATTTTTCTACTCGCTATGCCCTGGACCCTTCGTGTCCAGAGAAACCGCATTCGGACACACAATCCTGACTGCAGCCCAGAAGGGCATTACACTGTCCAAAGCTCCCACTTCCAGTGGATAAACTGCTTGGAGTCACCTAAGGTGGAGCACCCACTGGGATATTCCTCAAAGAAGAAGAGAGGGTTACTCACCCTCTGCAGTAACTGACATTCTTCACGATGGGTGTCCCTGTGGATGCTCCATCACCCACCCTTTCTCCCCTCTGCTTCGGTACTATCTCCTTATTTCTCCGGGGCAGAGAAGGAACTGAAGGGATCAGATCTTGTGCATGCCTAGCACTGTAGCACTTCTGCACATGTATGACCTAGCTGTCAAAGCCACTGCTATCAAAAACCTTCCGGCCAGGCACACTGCGATGCCAAAACACCTAGGGTGGAGCACCCGCAGGGACACCCATCTCGAAGAACATCAGTTACTGCAGAGGGTGAGTAACTTTCTTATATCACAAGGTTCATTGATGGCAGTGCTACGTGTAGAGGTGGGGGTTAGAGGAATCAACACTGGCCAAACAAACAAAAAAAAAAAAGGCAAAGTTAGGCCCTGATATTTATGCATGTGAGCAGTCCCATTGTTCTATATGGAACTGCTTATGATTAGCAGGATTGAGCCTGTGTTAAGAAATGTTACTTTGAAACTTGCAAGATGTAATCACAAAAAAGGGGTGAGGAGCGTTAAAATACAACAAATTACTAAAATAAGAACTTGAAAGCATCTTTGAGAGTTGCACTTCATTAAATTTTTTGAAACTCTTAAGATTAAGGACTTGTGGACTCAGCTTTGTTACTGTGTAAGTGTAGATGATAGCTAAAGAAATTATGAGCTGGGTAGGATCTGTTAACAACTGTTTTAAAAGAATTAGGGTATACATTTATTTTTAACGAGTTTATTTGTGCCTTCTAGATTTGTTCTCGTTACTTGGAAAATCTGTACAATCTTTTTCCTAAGTCTTGAATCCTGAGAGACAGATATTTTTAAATAAAGTTAGGAAGTGCCCTAGTTTTTTGTCATCTTACTGTTTCCATTATAGTTTCCAGTATTATTTACAGGTGTCTGTGCCTTCCTTTTTCTTGATTTCCCCCCCCCCCCAATTTTTAAAAAACA